GAAAAACAGCATAAATTCCAGCTTCGAGAAACTGGATACTACAAGTCATGTATTTCAGACAGATAAGAATTAACAATGAATCTTTGAACTCATTGAAAAAGATGGATCTTTCAACAACCTTCAATCTCAATATCAATAACACAATCTGTTAGGGCAGTCGAGGATTTATGTCCAGAAGCTAGTTAAACTGATGGACTCAACAATGTTAAAAATAAAATGAAAAATGAAATTTTGTTAAGCCTATAGTCTATATGAGAGACCATTTCATAATCATTCTGAGGTTTTTCCATGACTTATCTCTCAAACCGTAGCCGTGTAAAGACGCAGGATGGTGAAGATCTAAGACACGAAAACTATGAACCAAACACCATGAGGGTATCGTGCATCGTATTTCAATCCTCAAAATCTCCAGCATTTTCCAATAAATAATTGGCTGCCATCTCCTCATTGCGATCGCAAGCCAAAAAGGCTTCAATGACGAGGTTTCTATCGAATCCCATTGCTTCAAGCTAAAGATGCAAAACCAATTTAGTTCGCAATTTTAGATTAAGAGAAGAAAGAAACAATCTCCAAGAGAATAAGCACTTACGCGTTCAATAGCCTCCTGTTCGGCAGGAGTGACATTAATAGCATGGGGCATGTCTTGCTCGGGCTGATCAAATATATCCCTGAAATAGAATTCACAGTTCAGTCAGTTTCTGTAGTTTCCTTCAATTCCATGCTCCCAAGCCAAAATAAATGATACTTGAATAAACATCAACAGTAGGCTTTCCCCCACAATTGATTCTCAGAATCTACATTTAGTTTCAGTATTGGGGTAAACAACTTCTACAGAAACTTCTGGAAGAAGTTAAAGGCCCAAAGTAAAAGCTACCGAGTGAAATTAAAATGATGTGACAAATAACTGAGCTTTACATCTTATCTCAAATGAAACAAGACGTGATATCTAATTAACTCCTCCATCAAACATTAAATAAGCACTCACCCTTCAGAACCTTCAAGAGGTTCATTTATTAACTGAAGGAACTCTGCTTGATGCTCTTGAATCAATCTTAAGAGCTGGGGATTTTGCTTTCCAAGTTCCTGAAGCATAGGCTGCAAGAGAGAAACAGCAGCTCAAAATTCAGAACATAGACATGCATTGAAGAATAGCTAAACCAAAAAAGATATTGCATACCTGTAAAATTTGTGGGTTTGATTGCACCATTGAACGCAATGCTACAAACTAAGAAGCAAAAAAGATAAACTTCAGTGTCATTTCAATAAGCAGTATATTTCATGTCAAACATTTATGCATGCCCACTTAAACTAGATTCCCTTAGAAGAATAACAATAGTATAAATGGAATGGTCTATTCATGGCTCCTTCACATATGCCTACTATTACTTAAAATTGCCATTTGCCAGACCTGTGATGAATAAAAACAAATAATCAACTAAAGGAACAGAACTGACAAGGGCTGCCATTCATAAAAGAACCAAAAAACCTCTTTAAAAGATGGCAAGAAAGGACATGACAAGGACCTCACCTGTTGATTGTTTCTGAGGAAATCAAGGGATCCAAGCCCACCAGCACCAGCACCAGAAAGGGTTTCCTGGAAGAAATTCAGTGTGGCAGAAACAAAAGTTAAATAACAGTACTCCAATTTGAGCAGCATATAAATGTAATAGAAAGGAGTCCAAAGCTTACCTGAGGAAACATATTCAAAGGAGATGAATTAGGTGCCCCAGAAGCAGGAACAGCAGGCCCAGTTTCAGCCGTCTGACCAGTAGGGAAATTGACCACCGGCACAGCTACCTCCGCTGTTTCCGGAATGCCCTAAAAATTAAGCTAGCTAGCATTGGTAAACATATCCATGAAAATAACTGAAGCAAACTTTTCAACTTAGCCTTATTCTTAAAAGTTCCAAACATACAGAATAGAGATAATCCACAGCTCGCTCAGGGTTGTTATAAGCTGCTCGAAGTGCACGGCTTACTGTTTCTTTGTCCCAGTTTCCACCACCCATATCCATTATTTGTTGAATGGTCTGTTCGAGATTACTACCAGCAACTAAATTTGAGGCAGCCTGACCATAGGTATCATTTTCTGTGCTGAAAACAAGTTATAATAGTTTTATTGCCACTAAATTCATAGGTTTCCAAAATTGCCAAAGGAATGAAAAAAGATAGAAAGTATGCAATACAACTATTGAGTTAATGTAACACAATCGCAGAGATAGAACTTACTTAACAGTTGGAGTATCTGAAGCAGATGCAGAAGCTTTTGGGGTCCTAAAACACAAGTATTTATGATACATGTAAGGACACCATCAAACTCAAATTATTATATGAATAGAAAACTAAAAACGAATTGTAAACTTACAGTGGTTGTACAACAGCTTCTGCAGCAGGTTCCATATTAGAAGTCAGTGCAGTTGCAGTTGGAGTAGTAGAAGGTGTCTATAATGCAGAAGGGAAAATTATTCACATATAGCTCATGGAATCAAGAAATGATGCTCAACCAAACAAAAAGATGGGTGAGAATACCTGGACAGATGAAGCTCCCGAAGAACCAAGAGATTTGCTCTGTAACAAAGAAAATGAGTTGGAATAACCAAGTACATGCTAGAAAAAAGACAGAAAAAGATTCCTATTCTAATATTATCAGGTCACAAAAACTTTTTCAAAGAGAAGAAAAACAGAACTGCTTCTGAAATTATGAATTTATGATACAGTGCTGCATTTTTATTCATCTTGAGTTTCCAATTAAGGAAAATTTGATTTTCCCTGAAAACAAGAACGGGTTGAAATGGCAAGACAGCTTGCTACTACCACAAATGCCACCCAAGTTTAACTAGAACAATTTTCAACCTTGCCTTAAGTTTAGCATCAACCAAGTTGCCATATTTAGGTGATTAGGCAAACATAAGTTACTTTCATTGCTCAAATTTAGAGTATTGTTTAAGTAAAGCAATCAAAATTCTTGTATCACTCAAGATTAACCACCGATGACTTATTTGACTTAGTCACCATCAACTAAGTGCCAACAAATTCCGCTAACAAACAAATACAACAATACCATGGTTCATAATCCAGGAAACCAACAATCAAACAATACCTTTTCACCACGGTCTGAAGCTACAAATTTTTGACTCTAAAAAGTGATATAACTAACCACCCAGTTCTGAATGAAATAGAGAAACAAAGCTCAAGCTCTGAATTCCAAACCCAAAAAAGATGATAAAATAAAAATGGTACCTTACTAAGCATGACAACAAGAAACCCATCCTCGGAGACCTTGTTATCTGCTAATGTAGTTTCATCTTTCAAAACCTTCCCATTATGAATTAGCAGTTGCTGCCCACAAGGGTAATTGTCCTTCCCTTGTACATCTTCAATGGTTTTCTTCACAGCCATAACCTAAATAACCAATAAAAAGAAAAAGGAAAAAAAAAATCAAAATATCCATAACTACTACCTTGAGGAGAAAGAAGGAAAAGGTAGAGGATGAAGGAGGAAAAGGACTCACAGTGTCTATGGGCTGAACCTTAATTTCAAAATGGCTGCCTTTGAGGGTTTTTACAGTGAGCTTCATTTCGGCGAATTGAAGTGGGGAAGAAGAACCCTAGAAATGGGATTTTGGGGATCGAGAAAGATTGAGAAGAAGAGAGAGGGTTTTTTTTTTTTTTTTTTTTGTTGAGTGAATTGGGGGGTAAAGCAACGCCAAGCTGCTGGATTTTGCCTTTGTGTACAAATTAAAATAAAAATACATAATATAATATAAAAAGGGACGTTTTCAAATGCACGTGACTAAAACTTCATTCGGAAAGAAGCATGTGATTTAAAAACAGTTTGGTTAGAGGTCAACTCTCGAAAAGTATAGCATTGAGAGTTGCTAAAATTGGATCTTTATAATGTTTATTTAAATTAAAAATATATTTATTATATTTTTTTATCAATTTATATAAAATATTATAAAAATATTTTTTATTTTAATGTTAATGTTATGTAAAAT